TCTGGAATGGCATCTACAGCAGCTCTGAACTTTATAGGTTGCTCTGAGCCTATTTTCAGAGATACAGGAAGCCTTTCTGTGAAACGAGGCGGTTTTGGCAGATCATCCCTCGTAGTAATCGTGACCTTTTTCGGCAAGGTGAACATCGTCGGCTTGGTTGAAGTGGTGACCGTTGTCCGTTCCTGAACTTCTTCTTCCACAATCTCTGTGGTGACTCTTGTATAGGCAGTAACATCTCCTAGTGAATTAGCTGCCACCATCTTGTACAATCCTGGTGCGGGCCTTTCAAATGTGGCCACGCTAACGTTCTCTGCTGGCTGGACTATGGAGATATACTGTGAGTTCTTTGCCTCAAAGTTATTCACGTACCAGCGGAATGTTGCTGGAGGAATGCTGTCTACTCTGGACTCTAAAACTAATTTCTCTCCTGAAGGTACATGAACATTTTGGCTAGGTGCTGAGAGTAAAATGGGCCGTTTTGGAATGTTTTCTTGACTGCGTTTGCCAATATGTATAGATTTAGTTGTGACAACGGTTTCTTGCTGAGTGACCCTAGTTTCTTTCTCTTCTTTGACTTGGATGCCTTTAGTTTCTTCCTTAGGTGCCATTTGTACTGGCACATTCGTGACTGGAATGGAAAGCTCTACTTTCTCATGAGCGGTAGTGCTGGGCTGTTCTCTTAATTTGACTGTTTTAACTGATGACGAAGAGGGAGGCGAGTCTGCACCGTCGACCACCTCCCACTCGGCTTCAGTCGCAGTCGTCACCGTTACTGCGGACTGGACAATGTCGGGTACGATGGTTTTTTCTGTTTTTGTTTCGGTAGTTTCTATTCGCTCAGTCGTCTCCGTATACAAGTGGACCACTTTGGTTAGCAGAGTTTCTCTGCCTTGCTCGTTGAATGCAGTCACGCTGTATTTTCCCTGTTTGACAGGCGGTTGCACCACCAGCGTGGACCTGTTGTGTTCGCTTAGTATAGTAGTCTTCTTTGATGACTTCACTTCAAATCCGTTCACATCCCACTTAAATTCGGCAGTGGGAATGGCGTCAACGTTTACGGAGAGGATGAGCTTCTCGTTCGGATTTATGGACATTTGAGACGGCAATCTGGTGAGGAATCTCGGTGCATGGGGCAGATAGCGAGCAGCGCCTTCGCTCCGCGTTTTGTATAAGGGCCGCGGAAGACGTTCTGGTAACTTGGCGCTGCTGCTGCTTTGCTCTGAAACTGAATTAGTTCGCACACGATGTAAGTAAAGTTCGAGTCAAGCAACTTTCGCTGGGATTTCGCGCTCACGCCGCTGTATTAATTCACCTTTCCAAACTTTGCTGTATTACGTCCAAACTGGAAAAATTTTATTGCTGTCCTAACAAAATCGCTGTTGGTGGTAAGGTTGAAATCTATGGAAATATTGTTTGTGGTCCTCCACCAAAAGAAGCAAATTCAAAGGAATAAAGATGTGGAACCAGCAGTGATTCTATTCTACGGAAACGCGATTTATATGATCGCCAATGCCTTGTACGAAAGTTACGCATGGATTTTCAACATGATGATCAG